ACGGCTGCTTGCGTTGTGGCCGAAACGTCGTGAGAATTATATGTAGAATTTTTATTATTTTATTATTTCCCTTCTACGTGACTTTACCGAATGAACCAAGAATAGGGATCCATCTGTTCGGATCTCTTGCAGGGCAGTGCAATCGTTGGGATATCACGAAAACTACGACTGAGCTTCCTTCAAGTGACTCCTGATCTATGCACGAAAGGGCATCACTTTTCCCATTCGTCCCGCCACAGAGAATGGGCCTCATCTTTTTCGCATTACAATCAACTCGATATTGTATTTCTCACAGACGGAAATATAGAATAAAATAAGTGCAAACACAATTTTAATATTATATTGTACGCAGGTCATTGAACGAATCGTCCTGAGACCATGCATGTACTACACTCCAGTCGCTGAACTCATCATAGGCGGCTGCTGCCTGGACTCGAACCCAGAAGAATATCGTCTTAAAGCAATTTAGACAACAACATTTGAAATCTGTAAATGACTAGAAAAGCCATTACATCACAAAACTCAATGAGACCGGCGAAGGGTCGGCTACATTTGAAAGGAACGCAACCCCATGCTGTAGCCGAGACTGCCAACCCAGCAAGCGAAGTGGTCAACTCCCACAGTGTTGAGATGCGGAGTTGAGTGGGAAAAAATTAACCCGTAAAAACAAAGTTTTTCACTATAAATCCTTTATATGCGTGGCGGCTAGAGTCCTCTCGTCCTCTGGCTTGAGATGGCTGCCACCTACGGGTCAGATGATTGTCTGCCACAATTAAGCAATAGGTAATTAAATATTTATTTATTTTTCCCTAAACAGTGTAACATTTTGGAGAAATTTTTTTTACGAAAATTAATTGTCAAGCACAACGAGTCTGTGTGCAAAATGTCAGCTCGATTGGATCACGGGAAGTGGGTTAAAAAACGACCGAAGGATTTGCACGGTCGTAAGCGCGCAAGCAACCAAGCAAGCGAACTTAATCTAAAGGATTTTTAAAAAAGGTGCATTTGTGTGCGTACTAACCTAACGGTGCCGCTTGTTTACCGACGAGGAACAACGCGTGAATTACACGAGATGTACAGGTTACTCGGCTATCCTGTGGACGGATTGTCCCGATCGAGGATCACTACTACTCATTCGCGACCTGAAGCTGGTTTCATTAGTATCAGCTCCTCGCTCATCGCGGGTCACTTGACTCCGTGACCCACGCGGCCGCAAAAACGTCGGCAAGTGAACTTATGACGCTAACAAACAATAACAAAAAATTCGACGGCACGTGCTATGATTATTTTTCACCACAATGACGACGTAGGTAAGCAATGCTGGGTGTTTTACCACCGATTAATGTCTCCGTTGCAGCGGCTACTTTACACACGTTTAGCACTATCCGTGTTTGTGTGTTATCCGGGACACACCACCCCAATTACCCTTGACTTTAAAAGCAACTACAAGTCAATTGAGGAAATCGTCACTTCATATATAACCCCCCCCCCCCATACGGTACACCCCGAGTCGCCCTAGAGCAGGGTGCTGCCAATGGGAGCTGTACCTGTGCGGCACACGGCAAACGCAGCCCTGGCGTGCACGTGCGCATTGTTCAGGCAGTAGAGGCAATTGTTACTCCCCAATGAAATAATTTGCATATGAAATTTGGGTTATGGTGGCGGCGCACATGGCCTACTCTTTTTCGAATAACCAAATGTGATCGTGAGCGTTCGCCGTACCTCTCGTAAGGGTTGTGTGTTTCATGTATCCGTGCGTTTTTAACCACTGAAAACAAAACACTCGTGTCCCCACACCAACAACAATAATCAAAAATTCAATTGGCCAAAAACCCTAAGCAGCGGCTGTAATCGTGAAAGCTGCTGCTTAGGGTTTTTGGCCAATTTAATGTTTGAGTAGTGTTGTTGTTGTTGGTGTGGGGACACCAGTCGCCAGAGACACCCTCACGACTTTCATGGGGAATGCATCGAACTCAGATGGCTACTTGCTACACTGTGTGGGAGTGAGGAGGGAGCAATGGGTGGCTCAGGTAGGCTAGCTCGATGACAATTCAATCTCATCCGTATTGTGAGCATAATTTGCCTAAAAATCACATGAATCCTGTCGATTTGGTGGAAGCCCAAAAATTAAGCAGGTTTGGGCCTTGCAATTAGTCATATCACTATTATTACTCCTGTTTACCCAGGAACGCCTCACTGAGTAGAATGCCTTGTTTGCAAGAGGGCCCTGCCAAGTTTTTCGCAATAGAGTGCAATCATTGCGATGCAAATATCCAGATTGAGTCATTTTGCGGGTATTTTTTTTAATGTTTTTGTCAACTTGGGATCATCACAAAATTTGGACTCTTGCGATTAACGTCACGGCAAACAGACTCCCCCCCCCCCCCCCCCCATAGTTTCATGGTTAATAACTCGCAGTATTAATAAGGGCAGCTTCTGGATTCGAACTGCGCACCTCCGCAACAAGCTGCGAAAACGCTACGTTATTTATTACAGACTCACCGTCTCGTATTCACATTATATTGCCGCTTTTGAAATATTGAGGTTTTTTTTTATACCGAATTAAAAAAAAAATTCTCTTCTTGTTAGTTTTGGTTGTCGACCCCCTGTGCAAGGTCACGTCAATGCCTCAAGGTTAACTACCCGGGCTTCCCCAGGTGTGTTGCTGTGGGACTGCGAGGTTGTGGCAATGAGATGGCAGAGTTGATTGTTATCCCCTCGTGCCCGTGAGTTTCTCTTGGGTTCTGTTTCCTCGCACGTGAAACCACTCACGAATGGAAACGTCACAATGCAGGACTCTCCTGGAAAAAAAAGAGAGTTTAGACTCAGGCGTACCTAGATAAATATGTGTCTTTATTATTATGGATGCTACATGATCAAATCACCCTAGAGATGCTCGGATGAGTTACCACCAAGCAGAAGTGGTTGCGTGGTTACGTGGGGGGCAGCAGAGGGCAATGCAGCAAAAAACATTGTTGTACTATACCTTCTATGCTCCCGTGTCTATTACTCCCCGTCGTTACCAACCAGCATTGACCAAAGTGGTGAAGTATAGTCAATTATCCATCACGACCCGGGCAGGCGAGTTTTTACAATAGGGGCTATATGATGTACACGGTATAATGGCTCCATCTTCTCGTGATCCATCAACCCCCTGGCCACTGAAGATGCCATGCTCATAGACGCGGTTGTCGTGTTAACCGATCTGTCTGTGTGTATGTCTTTGTGGGTAAGCACTTTATTCCAAACCTCACCACTTGAGTTCGATTCCGGGCCACGGTTAATATTTTCAGCCAGTGTAATCTGAACCGATACTGAGCCTCCCCTAGGCCGACTCAGCATTAAACGAGTAACTGGTGTAGTGTGCTAAAATCAGAACTGGGGAGAGACAAAGGCGGCCGGGCGTGGTGCCGGCGGCCACAATACCCCATGTTGGACCGTGTCGACCTTCATATTGAGCTCGCTAACAGCACTTGCCCTATTCAGCCAGTGCAGGCTACATAGGAAATATTTGTATTTTTGTGTGAGTAGCCCAAGTCTGGCTTAACGGGCCTTTTTTTTTACTGTAAACAAAGTCTGCGCTGTTGTGGAGCGTTGTGCGTTGAGACAAATATAAGCCAAACTGTGTCCTGTATCTCCACATTTAAATAAAAATAGCTTTAGTCCATCGCCCTATTGACCTTCCAGCCCAAAATTACCCAGCAGCAGCAGCACTTGTTTAAGCAAGCAAACTCTAGAACGGGTTCAATCTTCGACTTCCCATCAGCAGAGCCTATGCGTGTCAAACAAATGCTGCTGGATTAAGAGATGTTATCGGCAAGGTCACAACCATGTGACATATGACTAAAACACTGCGGTTTTATTTGCATCTGGAGTCACAGATTGGAGTCGTGCTTGTACATTTTTAGATTATTTGGCTGCTATAAATTTTCGCATGATAATCCACTTCGTAGGGCTATAATGTGTGATTCTAGATTTGAAGCTTTCGTGACTGCAAGGATTCATACTCTTAGTTCTTTCGGTAAAGTCACGTAGGTAAAAAATGAAATTAGAATTAATAAAAAATAAAATAAAAATCACGACGTTTCGGAGCCAACACAAGTCTCCTATAATGTGTGGCCAGGTAATTTCTGAAAACGAAGCTAATAGCTCAGTGGGCTCCACCTGGTCAAATTAAATATTTTAGTAATATTCGTATATTGTTTTGTGATTTGCTTACATTTACTTTACTTTGAACTCCATTCATGTTGTTGGTATTGTTTGTTGTTGTAACGTTCTCACCCGCCCCTACTGGACATCTGTGAAAAAAAGCTTCATAGCTCATCGGATTTCTCCAGCATAAATGCATTTTCTAAATTCTGATATGGTATTTTATTAATTCATTCATTAACCAACAGCATTTTGGTTAAGCGAGCGAAACCACCGCATCCGTTTCGACCCTGTGGGTTCTCATCAGCAGAGCCAGGTTTGATAATTGCTTTTTTACCCTTCCATCTGCCAACAAAACTGACACCTTTTTTACAAGGAGTCATGTTTGCATAGACCACAATACCTGCAGTCATAATGCAAAAAAAAACATAACTCTGATAATGTGCACTGTCCTTGAAGTTGATTGTTTTTGTTTGCATTATGACTGCAGGTATTGTGGTCTATGCAAACATGACTCCTTGTAAAACAAAGCTGTCAGTTTTGTTGCCAGATGGAAGGGTAAAAAAAAACAATTATCATATTTTTTACTGACAAATGAGGTTCCAATGGTGAGAGCCAGGTTTGTTACAACAAACTCTGCTGCCCATTGTGGGGAGCGGTTGTAGCGGCCAACAGTCCGATGGGACGGACGAACGTGACACACGCACCACACACAAAGCACGTTGTTGTGTGTCGGGCTGGAGGATGGTAGGGCTGTAACGCGGGTGTGGGCGGTGCTACGGGATGAGAAAAGGCGGGTCCAGGCTGCGCACATCAGCTGTGCTGAGCCACAGCGAAGCCGGAGAGGCAGACCGCAGGGAGAGACGGCGAGAGAGGGAGACGGGGGGGGGGACAGGCGAATGCGTTCGAGCTCACGGACTCTCTCTCGAGCTCGAGGTCCCCCTCGTCTCATCACGACTGGCCTCACCACCACCCCCCCTACTCCTCGTCCCATCGTCTCACCTCTTCACACCCCCCCCCCCCTCCACCACGTCTGACAATGTCTCGTCGCAAGCAAAGTCGACCTCGTCACATCGAGCGTGAGTGTCCTGGGAGGGCGAGCCGGGGGGTGACGGTGGATACCCGGTGGGGTGGTGGGGGGCTCCAGTTGTAAGACGCGCGTTGTTATGTGAGTTGGTGTGTGCGCGTGTTGGGGTGTTTGTGTGTGTTGGTGTGTGTGATGGGTTGTCGTTGTGTGTTGGTGTGGGTGCGTGTTGGGTTGTCGTTATGTGTTGGTGTGTGTTGGGTTGTCGTGTGTGTTGGTGTGTGTGTGTGTTGGGTTGTCGTGTGTGTTGGTGTGTGTTAGGTTGTCGTGTGTGTTGGTGTGTGTGCGTGTTGGGTTGTCGTGTGTGTTGGTGTGTGTTAGGTTGTCGTGTGTGTTGGTGTGTGTGTGTGTTGGGTTGTCGTTGTGTGTTGGTGTGTGTGCGTGTGTTAGGTTGTGGTTGTGTGTTGGTGTGTGTGTGTTGGGTTGTCGTTGTGTGTTGGTGTGTGTGTGTGTTGGTTGTCGTGTGTTGGTGTGTGTGTTGGTTGTCGTGTGTTGGTGTGTGCGCGTGTTGGGTTGTCGTTGTGTGTTGGTGTGTGTGTTGGGTTGTCGTGTGTTGGTGTGTGCGTGTGTTGGGTTGTCGTTGTGTGCTGGGTGTGTGTTAGGTTGTCGTTGTGTGTGTTGGGTTGTGGTTGTGTGTTGGTGTGTGTGTGTGTTGGGTTGTGGGTGTGTGTTGGGTTGTGGTTGTGTGTTGGTGTGTGTTGTGTGTTGTGTGGGTTTGTGGTGTGTGGTTGGGTGTGGTGTGTGTGTGTGTGTGTGTGTTGGTGTGTGTGTGTGTTGGTGTGTGCGGTGGTTGGGGTGTTGTGTGTTGGTGTGTGGTTGGGTTGTCGTTGTGTGTTGGTGTGTGTGTTGGGTTGTCGTTGTGTGTTGGTGTGTGTGTTGGGTTGTCGTTGTGTGTTGGTGTGTGTGTTGGGTTGTCGTTGTGTGTTGGTGTGTGTGCGTGTTGGGTTGTCGTTGTGTGTTGGTGTGTGTGTGTGTTGAGTTGTTGGTGTGTGTGTGTGTTGAGTTGTTGGTGTGTGTGTGTGTTGAGTTGTTGGTGTGTGTGTGTGTTGAGTTGTTGGTGTGTGTGTGTGTGTTGAGTTGTTGGTGTGTGTGTGTGTTGAGTTGTTGGTGTGTGTGTGTGTGCGTGTTGGGTTGTCGTTGTGTGTTGGTGTGTGTGTTGGTGTGTGTGTGTTGTCGTTGTGTGTTGGTGTGTGTGTTGGTGTCTGTGCGCTTGTGCGTTACGATGTGGGGAGCGGTGGGTGTAGCAGTGAGCGCGCTGCGCAAGAAACCCGGACGACCCGAGTTCTATTCGCGCTCACGGCCACCAACACCATCGGTGACGATTATCTTAACCGGTCCTGGGCCTCCCCTAGGTCGACTCGGCCTCAAGTCAGTCTCCGGTTGCGGTGTCTAATAAACATCGCCACTCGGGAGACAAAGGCGGTCGGGCGTGACCCAACAGTCTGTCAAAGGCTACACAGGCGGAATCCTCGAGTAAAGTGCCCTCCGAAACGGAAACTTCAATTCTATTCGCAGCCACAGACAACATCAGCGGCGATTATCTGATAGGGGGTCCTGGGTGTCCTCTAGGCCCACTCGGCCCTAAAAATAGTGCGCGGTGGTGGTCATTTATTTGTCTTCATGACGATCAGCTCGAGTGGCGGAAGGAACGTTTAGGCTGATCAATGAGTTGAACCCATCAGCTCACAGGCCCTGACATGCTGTGTTCGTTTTGGGAGATTTCATTCGTGTTGGTTTTGGGCCCTTCTAGGTCACGTTCATCATAAAGTGGGGTTTGTTTTTTTGTTTGTTTTGGGTTCGATCGCGTAAATATAAACGCATCAAATTTTTCGATTTAAAGCTTTCGTGACTGCAGGGATTCGTAAAGTCACGTAGTCGGTAGCCTGAATATAAACGCGTCGTTAAACCTTCCAGAGCATTATAATGGACAGCTATCGTGTGTGCAGCAGACCACGTGTTTAACAAAGACGACAACACCACGCTACGTGATTGGGATGGTCATTTATCACACAATACCCTGATAATCGTCTTCCGCTGAAGTTGTAATTGGTATACATCGAATATAATTTGCACGTAAAGTCGCCCCTATCCCAATGCGAAGGATAATCGGTGAGGTCGATAAAGCGGTACCACTTTGTTGAAAGTTAAGCGATAGACATTTTCAAATCTTTGTCTTTGATACCGTTGTTATGAAGTTCCGCGTCATTTACCGAGTGGGATTATTACCTCTTTTAAAACAACACCATCATGCGAGACGAATAAAATCCTTAAATTGCATTACGACCAGGAATTAATCGAATCGTTCCACCGATATAAATTATAATAGTGTGCAGTTCTTCTGTTTAACCCACGGCTCGATGAAATCTTCCCCCACCGCTGCATCGGTGACATGGCTTGTTTCACCATACTTCATACCTGTCAACCCATACGGTTTACCCATATTGTTGTGCAGGTGTAGAGAAGTTACCGACGGACGTACTCGGAGACGGAGGTATGGTTAGGGGCTTCCGCCAGGGTTTATTACTCTTGGTCAATACTACACAGGGTGCACAACTCCCAGGGGCTAGGGGTCCTACTCTGAGTCTGGGTCCCTGCCGGCTAGCTCCGGTCTCTCTCTCTCGTGTCGGATCGTGGAGTCTGCCGACTCCACCGACCGGAGAGAGAAGCACCTCTTCGGCTACCACCGGCTTCTTCCCCAGACTCCCTATTTGATCCCTCTCACTATCCCTGGTTCCCTCTTCACCCTGTTTACTTCCCCCGTTCCTATAGTGACCCCGCTTACGTTACGGGGTCTCCCTTATATACCCTCGGAGGGGTGATGTCACGTGCACTGCCCAGCGCGTGCGACCCCACGTCCCGTGAGGTCACCGCACCGGACAGCGCACACGACGCCACCACTCTCCACTACTCCTCTACACAGGGAAATTGAGTTTTCAGGTCCATACGGCGTGCAGCCGTTTCAATACGGGGGAAAAAAATATTGTGCTTATTTGTTTGTATTTCTCCCTTGTGACGGGACTTTGTAGGATGGACGTTGCTATTTATAAGCGCACGGATTTAGTCAACCAATGGGAGGGCCCAGGACCGGTTCAGACAATCGTCACCGATGTTGGCCGTGAGCGGGTATCGAACTCGGGTCGCCAGGGGTTCGTAGCGCAGCGCGCTAACCACTGCACCACCGCTCCCCCCATCAGCTTCAGAGCCGTACAATTTTGGGAGCCCAAATTCGAATAATGTTTATTTATGGCCCTTCTGCATACAAAGATCCCCCATATAGCCTTAACAGACTGTATGGGCAAGTGCTGTTAGCGAGCACCTATGAAGGCCGGAACGGTACACGAGGGGGTGGGTGGCCAGCACCACGCCCGACCGCCTTTGTCTCCCTAGCGGCGATGTTTACACACCGCACCAGGTACTCATTTAAGGCTGAGTCGACCTAGGGGAGGCCCAGGACCGGTTCAGATAATCGTCACTGGTGTTTGCCGTAAGCGGGAATCGAACTCGGGTCGCCAGGTTCATAGCGCAGCGCGCTAACCGCTACACTACCGCTCTGCATACACACACACTCACACACGCGCGCGCCTCCATAACTCACTCTCGTAGCCTCGTGGGAATCCACGGCGTGTGTCGCGTGCTGAGTATTTTTGGGACCCGAAACTATTCGTCTTATCTGTGATGCGATCAGCGTTCTGTGATGCAAACGCGCAGCGAACCCGACCCCATGCAGGTCTCATGCACGCGTCCTCGGAATCGCGCGTGCGGCGGTGGCGGCTTGACCCCCTGACCCCAGCCCTGACGCCCGAACTAAACCTTGATGCAGGAAGGACCGGTTGCTTGGGTTCAGTGGGCATCCCAAGCGACCCGCACTCTCGGAGTGAACTAATACCATTGCGTATTCTTAGGTTTTTTCGGTAAAGTCACGTAGGTAAAAAAAATTAAATTAATAAAAGTAAAATAAAAATAAAATAAAAATCACGGTAGTTGTATCAATCAAGTAAGAGAAATTCCAAGAACACAGTATTTGTATATATACTGGTTGAGGGTGGGAGGAGCCAAGGTAGGCCCTGGATATTGTTATTGTGAGGTTCGGTGCGGCTGAAGCACGCTGTTAGGAATGAGCCTTTGTTGTGTAGACTGGTTGAACTCGGAGGTTCCAAGAGTTGTTAAGGTGCGTGACTTTACCGAAAAAAACCTAAGAATATGAATCCTTGCAGTCACGAAAGCTTCAAATCTAAAATTAATACCATTGTAGACGTAGGACCCATTCGTCAAGTCCATGCGCGTGTTCTTTGACCATACTTCGCTACGTGCGGGTTGATGCAGGCAGCTGGGAGCATGGACGTGGGAGCATAGAAGTACCGTACAACATAATGGTGGGTTTTTTTCCTGTCCTGCCAAAACAACGTGGCCCCACGGCCTATAACATATGTTATGTATGGTGGTGACCCATGTAAGTGGCAAACGATAACCACATGAGTGCAACTTCAATCCACCTGTTCAAATAAAAACAATGCGTTTTATTCCATCGGCCTATTGCACTTCCCGACTAAATAAACACTGCTGACTTGTATGCTCTTCGTGAGAGCACGCCGTTCTCACGATGGGCCCGTTAATTGTTGCATGGTACCTGTATCTCATTGTGCTGTGGATTTTTTGGCATCAGAGGACACTGAGTTGATATCGAAGAGGGTGGGGGGGTGTCGCATTGACTTCTGGCTTAGCAAGTAAATGTCGATTAATCGTTTCTTACACTCACCGTGCATTACATATATTCGAGAAACAAAAATATCAGCGAATTCGTCAATAACACTCTGGTCTTAAAGAAAAATGTATATAACAAGTGACGTTTCGGACAATGGGCCTTCCTCACAGAATATAGATGATTGGGGTAGAGGGAGTGGTCTCTGTGTGCTGTGAACAAAGGTGGGCCATTTTATTATTATAATTTTTCCTTTTAAGGCCACGTTTTTTTTTTGCAATGTTTTGAGTCTCTTT